AATGTGGCAACGCCGCAATGCTGAAAATATTTTAGATCGATAGTACAGGTAAGGAAATGTGAGAGGTGAAATTTTCAGAAAAATCATGCTTTGCGTTTTCCAGAAACGTTTAACCCACCATCGACCGTGAGTCACGCTGTATAAATTATTAATCACATATACATATACATACATATATGCATGTATACACATGAGCACATACTCGAGTAGTATTTATGTCAAAATGTAAGCTTGTTTATGAGTAAAAATAAAATTGAGTAAGTAAATGATATGTATGAAAGGCAATATAAAGAAAAAAATACATACATGCAGATTATTTGTCGAAGTTATCCTGAAAAAAATCATTCAATGTATAATAAGCCTTTTTGACACGAATTGCTTCCAAGTTTCTCTTACAAGATAGTAACATGACATATTCTGTTACACTTTTAGGTAACTTGTACATTTTCACTCCATTATATATAATTGAGTTCTTTATTTGACTACTTATTGGAATAGGAACCTTTAATTGACAAACCTATGGTGAGGATGGAAGTGAAGGTACCTTTGTTATCGTGTATAAGACATGTCGATTCAAGAACAGACAATGAAGTTCCATTTGAAATTTTATGCATTATAAACAGCTTGTATGGATCATTCCACTTTGGTCTACAGAGATTTCGTACCGCACGGTTTTGTAAGATGAAAACATACTGAAAGAGCTCTTCACTGGGGTGTATGCAGTGGAAATAAAATAGCACTACCAGACCGGCATCAGAGGACTTATTTGTGTATGCAAGTGCCAGCTTTGGGTATAATCTCTTGTAAGAAAACATATCTCGAAAGTTTGAATGGACATTCCTCTTCAACATAATGATGACTGCCCATTCCTAGAAAGTTATTCAAACGTTTCTTTTTTTAATTTTTTTGGTGAAGTTGATCAATTACACTTAGTCAGAACATCATACCTGATACTCTTGAAAATATTTCAATAACAATAACAACAACAATTTCACATTGATGATCCTTCGCCTCCCTGAATAAAGTAGAATAATCATTATCGCTTATTTTATCATCGTGAAACATTGTGGAAGAAAACGAATAGGAATAACATTTTGGATTGGCATATTTCCAGAACTACTATGAATCACATGACACTGTTGTCACTATTCTTTAAATAAGTATGAGAGTGATTGATTCAAGGATATACACTTCCAACTGAGTTGAGCAGATTNCAGTTTGCTGACCCGATTAAGTTGTGGTGTGGAAAATGTCAATACAAATTTGATAACTGATCGTCAAAATTGCGACTCTTCTACCCTTTTAGGTACAGGAGAAAAATTTTGAACATATTCGGTATTAATCCCAGAATAAGAATTCATTGACAAGGTCATTATGAGGACATAATGATGATAATGACATGATGTATATATATACTGAGTCACTTCCAATAATCCCATATAATTTATTTTTAATTTTTTTTCCTAATTGCTAATGATAATTTTCAAGTTTCATATCCAATCATGAAAATACTTACATTGAAATTTGGATATTAAATTCGTAGATAACGAAAATTTTCTGAAAAACTTCCTCTGTTATTTCAAAATGAAAATATTTCTGTTCTGTACAGAAAAAGATATACTGTTAAAATGACTGGTGTGAGTCTAAGATAATAATAAAATTTTGCAGAATAGTTGAGTACGACGAGAATTCCCATAGTTGACACTGTCTGACTGACACTGTCTTCACTGTTGAAGAAGATACTGTGTTAGCGAAACATGTCGTGATATATTTCTCAAATAAACTTTGTGGTGATCAAATCGTGAGGTGTAGTTTATGAAATTACTATGCATCTTCATCAAGTAACGGCCGAATCAATCAGAAAAAAAAACAAAGGGTGTGTGAGATAACATCGAAATTTTTTAATCCATTTGAAAGACCTATTGGTGTCATTCAGGGCTTCTCTGGGTGGAACGCATCCGAAACGTCCAGTTTTCCATGACTCTGGTGCATAAATCAGGTTGAATTTGACCGATGTTGGCTTTGAGAACCGCTGTGATTTGTGGCTAATTCACATATACTTGCGAAGAAAAAGTCTAATGGGGTCAAATCGCACGATCTCGGTGGACACTTCACATCACTTCCACGTGGCATGAACTGTGTGGCACGTAGCGCCGTCCTGTTGAAACCACATGTCGTTGGTGTCCAGATCATCCTATTCAAGCCAAAACGTTATTAGTCATCAACCTATAGTGCTCGCCGTTGACAGTAATTGCCTGGCCAACGTTGTTCTCGAAGAAATATGGACCGATGACGCCGCCATCCTTTATCCACACCCACTTTTTCAAGATGTATTAGATGCTCTGGGATCTCATGTGGATTGGTATTGTCCCAAATTAGACAGTTTTGTTTGTTCACGTACCCATTCATCTAGAAATTGGCCTCATCGCTGATTATGATTTTTAGACGAAAATTAGTTTCAGTTGCCAACTGCTCCAGAACCCATTCAGCGAACACACATCGTCTACAATTGTTTCTCTTCAGTTCCTGGACCAGTTGAATTTTTCACGGGTGCATGCCCAAGTCAAGACGCTAAATTCGCCAAATTGATGTCTGCAAAAGGCCGAGTATTTGTGAGCAACGCAAAATCGACTGCCTCGTTTTCTCCTGCACACTTTCACATAATATAGCGGCAATGTTTTCGCCAGATATTGTGTTTCGTAGACGTATAGGTAAAGCGCACGGTACGTTGCTCGAACATAACACCCACTTTGATGAAACAATTTTATTATTTGCACGTGTAGGTAGGTAGGTCTGAAGTGAGTGGGTCTATTCGACCCTCCACCGCAACCCATAAGGGTTGGCTCACACCTATTCACACTCGGCCAAATAAACCCAGCTTCTTAACGAAGCTGATTAGTTTGTATGGTGAGTGGTCTTCCAGGTCAGATGGTGAGAGAGAGAGAGAGAGATCTGCCGAACTCAAAGAACCTGATTCGGTCCCCAGCGGGGCAGGCACAAAGTATATGCTCTGAAGTTTCATCATTTTCCAGACACAGGCGACACACTATTTGCACTTGTTGTTGAATGCTCTAAGCGTCCATGATGATTTGGCAAAACAAACTGAATAAATAACAACCAATTCCATAGAGAATAGCTTCAACAAAATGGCCTTTATTAATTTTCAAAGTTCGAAAATCTTTCTTGGACGACCCTATAGAATCAATTCGTAACAGTTGTTGATGTATTTGACATATACAAATTGAATATCAAGCAATCAGGCCAAACCTGTGAACATTTCGAAAAATAAGCCAAAACTGGCCAAAGCTAAGTTCACAAAACAGATCGCTCCGGAGCCCATTTATCATAATCAACTTTTAGTTTCTTCGGCAATAAGGTTATTATTAAGTATTGCACAACAATTATAAAATTATTTATTTTGGTTCTTTCATTCGCTGTACAAAGATCAAATATTCTACTACACCAAAGGTTTCAAACAGTGCATCACATGAGTAAAGAGTTCTTGATTTTTCGTTTCATCTTTGAAATATGTATTTTGAGAAATGAATTCCCCCAGTCAGTGTAATGTATTTCGAATCGAACATTTCCCTATTACTCATTTTAATAAAATGTAGTGAGTGAATGAGTATTAATACAGAAATTCCACTTACATGAATCACTTTTAGCCTTAACTGGACTAAAGATTTGATTCATGAAAAAACAAAATTTTATTGAACTCGTTACTTGCTTTTGATCTATAAAAATAAGCTAATCAATGTAGATTTTTGCCTGAAGTTATTTTTGTTCTTTGTTATGAGAAAGAAAAATTTTCAGACGCCATTAAAGATAATCTGGATTCGGGAGATGCGCGTCGTCTATTCCCAGAAAGAAGGAAACTTCCCAGTACGCAAGCGCCGACTTAAGCGATTACTTGATTATGATTTTGCCGTCGGGACGCTTATACGAACGACTTTGCCACCACTGAAAGGCGGCTCAGCACGCGGGTTTCAACACTGAAATTTTCGACGGTCAGTGCATCGACGAACAAAAAAGAGAATCTTTAAAGATGTCTTCTTCCGTGGCGAGGACTTCCAAATATTCATATCGTTCCAGTGGAGCGGCTGGTGGTGCTGCTGACGTCAGTATCGAGTACAGCGCTGATCTGACAGCCCTTTCTAGGCTCGAGGTAAAAATAATTTTCATCAACTGGATCATATTACCAAATTCCAGGAATTGTGCACTTTCGTGAGATTTGTGACGAGTGTAGTGTTTTAGTGATTCAATAGGATTTATTAATTAGTGATTTTGGTATCCACTCATAAATATTGTCAAATTCTTCGACAAATCAAATAATCAACTATTTTGAAAACTAACCAGAAATTTGTGTCTTAAAAGCATATTTCTTTGTCAGTGTCGTAGGGTACATTCGAAGAAAGTTGAAGTATACTGATTGAAAACAAGTAAATTAAAATTTGACATGTCATAAAAAATTGAACTTAGCTTTTCCATCACAATAACGAAGCTAAAGAGACATCACTTTTTTACAGGATAAAATTCGTCTTCTTCAAGATGATCTCGAAATCGAAAGAGAACTTAGATCCAGAGTGAGTACCCAAATATTTGCTATGAGTTGCTTAAACTGGCGCTTTTTTACATTTGCATTGAATAGAAATGAAAGAAAAAATCACGCATCAAAATAACTAAATCATACAGCAAAGGACTAAAATATATTGTAGCTCCCAAAAAGCTATTTTATCGTTATTATCTTGAATGCCATCTACTAATTTTATTTTTTGAAATCATGTACTTTAGGAAAATATTCAAAATAAAGCTGATAAATTTGAATTAAATGAAGTGAATAACTAGGTCATCAAATTATTTTTTTAGAGTTTAAACATTTTCTACTGAGAATTCTGTACTGACACTCAGCAATGCGATTCAATGAGGTTACAGTTTATTTTAAAACTGGCTAGGTATATTTCCAATTCAGTTCGAGCAGTTCAAGCTATATTGTTTCATGGTTCCAAAAATAAACTACTGATTCGCGAGTGCAGAGAAAAAGGTGTTTCGTACTGAAATTAATCTCATCTCAACTTATGGAGTGAAGAAGCACTCCTTAAAGACGTTGTGGCGCTAATAAGGATACAGTTACGAGCTGTAATATTCTCAATAACTCTTTCTGGAAAAGTAGTTTTACTAACAGATGGACATTCAGACTGATGAAATTCTGTGAAGTATAGCAAAGAGTAAATTTCAAACCTATCAATTACTAGAGATTTAATCAGTACTGCACTGTTTGGAACATTTAGTGTAGTGATAAATTTTACTGGATTATTTTTCCCCAACACCAAACCGTTATTTCAACACCTCGACACGTGTTTCGATCACCAAGTGATCATATTCAAGAGGATGAGTTTGATCTTTCTCTTGAAGATGAGCACTTGGTGATCGAAACACATATCGAGGTGTTGAAATAACGGTTTGGTGTTGGGAAAAAACTCCTGTAATATTCATTTAATCAGTAATCTAAAGGTAAAAGAGTAATGGAGGATTCTAAAATGGTACTGTTATTGCTAATCTTTCGAAATGTCGGGTAACAAGTACCTTAGAAGGAGAGAACCACCAGAATCAATCAATTTCAATCAGTACAGTTCATCACTATGTACCAAAAAGTACCAGTACCAGAGGTACCAAAAAAAAGTGAGGAACGAACTGGTTGCTATAGAATTGATAAGGTTCACATGATTTGGACAGCTAAAAAGCACCTCAACTACGAGGAATTAATAACTCAGCTTTATGTTCTAACATAAAAACTGCTATCTTCTATATGTGGGCTTTGATGATGTAACGGAGAAAAGGATTGAAGAATTTTAGCTTGTTGAAAGAAGCGAAAGAAAGCTTTTCATTTATTAGGTAATAAATATTTGGGAAAACGTAAATAGATCTCAAAACAGAGACTTTTTGAGTTTCCATGCAGCCAACTGATTAATATTCAACAGAAAATGATCCGGAGCTAAATTAGAAATTATGCTATTATTACGTAAGTTTTATTACTTAATACCATTGTCAGATTTTATCATGCTAAATAATCCATACGTTGAAGATAATAGTAATTTCGAATGCGTTTCTAAGTTTTGGGAATTCAAAATAACTAGTATATTTTATCTGAAAAAAAAATATAGCGCTTGACTAACCCATATATTTACAAAATGCTGTATTTGTACGATAGTCGTTCCATTTTCCTCAAAAAATATTTTCTTGAAAAGCAAATCCATTTCATTGAATTCAAATATTTACATAGGTTAGGCATCAAAAAAAATAAAATTTGAAAAAATTGTATATTTTGTCAAATTAGGTCTGTTCAGAATCAATTTTATTTTTATCAACAAGTAGTGTTATACTATATTTTCCTACGAAATTATGAAATATTTCATTTCTGTTCTAGTGGAAGTAACATTTGTAATAACTTCCTATCTATGTATCAAACGATATCTGTTCAAAAATCGAATGCAGAATTGCAATTTAGACGAAAGACGAACTTTCCCACCGATAATCAACTTAGATATTGTTTTATCTGAAGTTTAGAGAATTTAGTAGGTTATCACTAGACCATTTCTTTCCAGAATTCAAGATGGGTGGTATGTTTATAGTGAAGACGGCAGAAAAAGAAATTTGCGGTTATTAGTATAGAACAATTTCAATGACTGCTCAAGTAAACTTGCTGTTCAGTTGATAGGGGTCAGAAAAACATTTTTCAAATATATTGCCAACATTCAAATGGCCCTGGATTCATATTACTTTTTGTACTTTGTTGGATAATTATGAAATGTAGGTATCATACATTAAAAAGAGTAAATTCTCGGATCATTGCCAGATCGCATATTTATGGACCCAGTTATTGCATGGAGGCAGTTGTAGCTTAGCTACCCACAACTAGGTGTCGCCCACTTTTTATATTTTTGTTATATAGACTTGTATTTTCTAGTCAAGTTTGATGACACTTATCTTCGCACTTGATAGGGATATTTTTCTGGTAGCAGTTGAAAATCATTAACGTAGTTGTATTCGTGTAGTTATAGTAATAAAAGTTTTACTTATTGTATATAAATAATAATAAATATTTCATTAATGAAAAAACTAAGAGATTAAGGTTTGTTAGGCGTTTGTAGGAATTATGTCATTAAATACGAACATCTTTTTCCATTCTCTTGCCTGGCATGGACCTATTGAAAAAATATTCGCAAAACCTTTTGAGATTGGGGTAAATAATGGTATTACTCAGATAAATCAATAGATGTTTCTGTTGAAGATTCCTTGCTTTTCGAAAATATTCATTTTTTCGTAGTCAGAAATACAAATCTCAGGATGCTGATATATTGTTGCAGATCTGTTGCATATCAAATTATAAACATCTCGAGTATACGGAAACAATATCCACTTCCTTGTCATAATTATTCTCAATTTGTAATTTCATGCAAAATTGTGTGTCTCCCTTATTCTAAATTTAAGTTTGAATTCTTTTTTGAACGTATTCCAAAAAGGAATGCATTCATTCCAGAACTGTCATGTATTCCATTACCATATGTGTCATTTGAAATTGCATTATTGATACTTGAGATATGTCTCTAAGTACAAATCCTCCAAAAAATACAAAGTTTCAATATTCAAAAACAGATAGAAAATTCCATAAGAGATTTTTTGTTATCAAGAGAGGAGAAACTCAGACAAAAAATGTTTCAAATGAAGACAGAACACAGTTAACGAAGGAATGAAAAGATATATACATACATTTTGAATACATTTTGCCTACATATACTTTTCAGCTGAAATGTAAGGTATAACTATACAGCGTGACTCACGGTCGATGGTAGGTTAGACGTTTCTGGAAAATGTAAAGCATGATTTTTCTGAAAATTTCACCTCTCATATTTCGTTACCTGTTCTATCGATCTAAAATATTTTCAGCATTGCGGCGAATGTTTCAAATGAAGACAGAACACAGTTAACGAAAGAATAAAAAGCAAATCCCAACTTCAATGATTCCAAAAATATCATCGTTAAGTTAAAAAGTACTGCCCCAGTAAAAACAGGGGGGAATTACCTTATAACACAGGAATCAACTCTTGACAGATTTTAGTGCTATCTGAGTGACTCTTTCGAGACTCTTCCAAGCAAATGAAGAAGTAGGAGTTATGATGGTTCAGGCAGACAGACTAGACCATAGTATATACAGACAGACTAGACATAGTAGGTAACATAATACGTTAAAAAAGTTTTTTTGTTGGGGAGTTGAACGCGGGACGTTTGGTGTGGAAGCCTTTGAGTATAATCTCGTCGCTAGCGAGGGATATTAAAAGTGAATGCGAGGAGTAGGAGAAGTTACATCAATACATTTGCACACCCTGAGCAGAAGCTCAGGATATGTGGAGGTGGAATCTTAGCCCTATCATTTCCACACGGATTCCTTCATCCATCTTGGACCCATCGAAGCATTTCCAGCCAGCTATGACTTATCATGACCATTTATTTCATCAACCAAATGTGTTATGGTTGAAGGTTCAGTATTAACTCCGAAGCAGCTCTAGAGAATGTGAAAATTGACCCTGTGATTCCGAAACAGATGAGATGTTGCAATACATATAACTCAACTTTCGTTGGTGGTTATTCCAATAAGGCATAAATATCAATATATTTGATGACCGTTTGATGTGACCAGCAAATTTTATTATAGATTTCAAACCTGAAGTCTTTCAAAAAATTTGCATCATATCCAGATTGATGCTGTGGCTTTGGATAAAATGTTGTTTATCTAACTTTTCAAAGACAATTTTTCCTCGATACTCATGCTAAATTATTCAACTTCCTTGGAAACAGTGAGCTGAGTTCCACATAGCACTATTTACGGAAATTGACAGTGGGTTCTTCCTTTCCAGTCCAGCTTCGGATTATATTTGAGGCTGACTGAATGAGTTCTTATTGTAACCACTAGATCATTGGTAAATCCTTGTGTCGTGAAACGACCAGCAACCAAAGATCTCCATAAACTATTTCCTGATTACTTTCTATGCCAAGTCCTATAACGATATGATGGATCTGCTTCGTGCTACTCACTAAAGAATAATAAAACCAGTGAATGTTAGAACTTTCGAATAGGAAACTCAATTAGAGAATAGATTTAGATATATAGGTTAGGTCCAAAGTGAGTGAGTCTATTCGACCCTCCACCGCAACCCGCAAGGGTTTTTTGTGGCTCACACCTATTCTCACTCAGCCAAACAAATCCAGCTTCTTAACAAAGCCGGTAAGTTTGTATTATGAATAGTCTTTCAGGTCAGATGGTAAGAGTACGGCTCTGCCGAGCTCTAAAGACCTGATGCGGTCCCCATCTGGGCAGGCACAAAGTATATGCTCTGTTAATGAGGTAGTCGGATAGTCAAGTTGCAAGATTCCCACCTTAATACCCACGACAACCTTCCCATATGAGGGTTTTTACACGTCAGCTACACCTGACGATGCCTTAGATTCAGCCGGGCAGGGTTTTTTCGCCTCTGGTTTTGATGAAACCTCACTTGAGCGCAAACGTTTGCTAACCTGCTCATGGGGG